ACATAAATCGTTGGAAATTGTATATCATGCACTCATATCATATCACTCGCGTGAAATATATGTCACTCTCCACACTAGTTATGCAATATACTATTTCATATCAATGATGTTTGCGCAAAAGTTACAATTACTCAAGTTCATAACGTTTAGCACTAAATTTGTTCCAGATTCAGAAACCGAATGAAAAAAATTGTGCAATCACAGTTTGTGATGTTTTTTATCATGCCTGTATTATTATAATGTGATTTCTACGAGTAAATCCGAGAAATCCATATAATGTGTGGAAAAACTCATTAACGAAAGTGTTGTTTTCTGTAATGACATGATACATTTGATTATGTCGTATAGGTGAGTCAATGACCTGAATACTGATGTTCATTGATCGTTCATTTATTTTTATGTAATATTCATTAAATGCCTGAGCCAGAACATGCATAACCACTAAAAGTAATATCGGTCGTGATCAGACCAGATTCAAGTTGATTAAAATTATATAATTCGAATGCAATCCAGAAACGAACTACTGTTTATCAATAAATGATTAAAATCTCTCCGTCTATCAAATTAGTCACGTCATGAAATAATATTGGAAAAAACTCTTGTCATGCGGTTGTAATTCATAATGAGTTATTGAAATGATAATTTCTTGTTTGTCTGATTCGTCTGCAGTATCATGCATACAATTTCCCCATCATTTTAACTTTTAGAAATCAATAATAATTCGAGGTAATTTCACAGCAATATCAATGATGCATAGGAAATATCAACTGATTGGACTGATATCATATTACAAATGGGTCGTTGAATGATATATTACGCTTACGCTAATATATCAATCAACGAATGGGTTCAACATAATAACTGGCCTGACAAGGCTAGTGATGCTCCCTCCATATTTGATCCATATTCTCCAGTATAACAAGATGAGCAGTTCGATGGGAAACTTTTCACCACAATCAGGATTTTTTCCTCACGATAGAGGCAGGGAAAGTGTAAATAAAACTCATGGTATCGATAAACGAACGTCAATATTCAAGCCGATTACGCCAAACCTCAAACTTCAAAAACTGAGGAAACTTCACGGCAAAAAATAGTTCATGAATTCTCAATTGAATACTGCTAATATTCCTTATGATTTGTGGCTTATTGCTCTTATTAAATGTGTGCAAATGATAAATAAATTGATTCACACTAGAGGGCACTTGAATCAGTTCTCAACATTCAGCACAATGTTGCCAAGCCTTCAACATCCACATAATATTTTGTTATGGAGAATCAGGAATATTTGGACATGCTGGTTGCTTAAAAAAGTCAAGAATTTTTTTTTATCGCTTGGAGCGCACGAAAGGGAATCCCTATAATCTTCATGAGCTCAGAAAAATTCCATTACCTACCTCCTCTCCCTATGCTCCCTGTAGGTACGCACGATGTTCCCTGAACATTATAGGGATTCCTATTCATGCGCACCTAGAGATAAAAAAGTTCTTCTCCATCAATAATTTTTCAAAGGCATCGACACGAACTATAAATTTAATTTCTCTTTACGTTTCTGCTCATAGTGAAATTTTGATCAGAGAGACGATTTGTTTTGTCCTCAGCACATGGTGAATTGAAATAACTTTTTTCTTTCATTCATATAGACAAGAAGGAAAAATTACTCGTATAATCCCTGTAGACTTGAAAAAATCAAAATTTTTTAACTGTTTCAACCTCTTATTTTTCAATTTCCAGAGGGAAAGACGAGGGGGCGACCACTCTCTGCAATACGTGTACATTTGGTCTGAAATCACTTGCAATCGTCACTGAAATCCCCTGAAATCCCGCAGTCAATTTGCAATCGCCGAAATCTCTATCTGCAATCCCGCAATCGCTTTCGCAATCGCTCCCGCAATCGCTTTCGCAATCGCTTCCGCAATCGCGGAATTCATCTAATTCAATGATGGAGGGGATACGACCATTTGCGGTAAACCAACGAAGGTATATTATATTTTATGTTGTTTTTCGGTTATACGTTAATCTTTGAAGAATCTCTAGTGTAGTTTGAGTTTTGTGTGAAAAATTCGACATTATGTTGGTTCTTCGCTGACAAAAAAGGGAAACTATCATCTGACAGAAAAATTCGTTGTCGAGGTATGTCAACACGAAGTCAAAATCTTGGTCAAATGAATAATTCCACTTCTTCTGCCACAAAGAAAAAAACAGAACAAAAAACCGTCAAAAAAATCGACGAATCGCTATTCTGAGAAATCAGAATTTGAAAATGAAAGTTTTTCGGAGGAAGAATCAAATGGAGATAAAGAAACGTCAATATGCATTGAAAAGTATTATGCAGCTAATTATGACACCTGGTATATTGGACGTATTTTAGAGATCCTCGAAAATGATACCTTTAGAATTAAGTTTTTGAAATCGGAGCTGGATATGTATACAGGCTGATCCACGGTGGATGGCCTATTAGAAGTATCTGGAGAACGAAAAGACATAACATTCTAAAAATTGGGATGCGTTGATAATTGAACATTCTCTATCCGTCTAAAATATTTTCATCCATACAGTGTTGCCACTTCTATCAGAAACAACTAGCAACTTCGTTATTTTGAATAGACCACCCTGTATTTTATTGAATTTTTAGATTCTCCTTGAAAAGCTGATTTCATCAATGTATCACACTTAGGGTCTAGCAGGAATGATTCCAGAGATATAGGGTGTTCATAATCGAGATTTTTCAATTTCAGGATTTTTTTGTGTCGAGAGTATTCATTATTGATCAAAACGGTTCACATGTCCCCATCTTAACTTTCGATTCACTATCTACTGACATTCAATTGGAACAGATACAGGGTGATCAGAATTCTGAATCTTGGAGCACCCTGTATTTTTTCCAATCAAATTCCAGTAGATAGTCAATCAAAAGTTAAGATAGGGACATGTAAGCCGTTTTGATCGATAATGAATAGTTTCGACACAAAAAAATCTTAAAATTGAAAAATCTCGATTTTGAACACCTTATGTCTCTGTAATGATTCCTGCTAGACCCCAAGTGTGATACATCGATGAAATCAGCTCTTTAGAAAGAATCTAAAAATTCAATAAAATACAGGGTGTTCCATTTGAAATAACAAAGTTGCTAGTTGTTTCTGATAGAATTGGCAACACTGTATCGATGAAAATATTTTAGATGGATAGAGAATGTTCAATTATCGAAGAATCGCAATTTTCAGAATGTTCTGTCTTTTCCTTCTCCAGATACTTCTAATAGGACATCCACCGTGGATCATCCTGTATATGGCCTAATAAGGAAGATATTCAAGTTGTAGAAAAAAAGTACATATGGTATGGGCCAATCGACTTAGTCGGTAATGGACCTTTCCGCCTTAAAAGAAATGATATAATGAATATTGAGAAAAAATACAAAGATTCAAAGAAACAGTCAATTCGCTAACATGAATGCCAGTATAATATGCTATGTTCACTTTTATAAAATGAAAAACACCAGAGTTGAAAGAATAATAAAAATGTTTATATGAGACAAAATGGTTTTTAATAATTCCAAATTTTCTTCAATTATGTTTATACTTTATTTGGTTGTATAATCCGTCATGCTTGAATAATTAGGTAGATGCTCTACAATTCCAAAGAATTACCTATGTGGTAATTGAATTGAATCACATATAAACTCTTATTTCAGAAATTCACCATTGCAATCAAGCTAGCAAATGAACCCACAATCGCGGAAATCGTCTTGCAATCCTCAATATAATTTCACAATCCCATTGCAGCCCCTGCAATCACTCTGCAATCAATGAATTCAGTTCGCAATCCTCCGAAATCGCAACAATTTACAAAGAATTCTCTGAAATCGCTGAAATCATGGGATTTCCGCAATACGTGTACATATTTTTCAGAGGTGGTCTCCCCCTCGGGGAAAGATCTTTTTTTAATTTTTCATATGAGTTGCCTAATTATTTCTAATTTTTCCTTATAGTTCCCTGAAAATTATAGGGATTCCCATTCGTGTGCCCCAAGAGATGAAAACGTTCTTCTCCATCGATAATTTTTCGAAGGTAACGATACGAACTATGAATTTAATTTCTCTTTTACGTTTCTGCTTATAGTGAAATTTTGAACGAAGAGGCGATTTGTTTTGTCCTCAGCACAGTGAATTGAAATTACTTTTTTTTCATTCATATCTATAGACAAAACGAGAAAATTCCTCGCATAATCCCTAGACTTGAAAAACTTGAATTTTTTGAACTGTTTGATCCTCTTATTTTTTAATTTCCAGGGAAAACAATCTTTTTTCAATTTTTCATATAAGTTTCCTTATCATTTCTTATTTTTTCTTGTTGTTCCCTGAACATTTTAGGGATTCCATTTCGTGCGCCTCAAGAGATGAAAAAGTTCTTCTTCATCGATAATTTTTCAAAAGTAACGACACGGACTATGAATTCAATTTTTCTTTTACGTTTCTGCTTATTTATAGTGAAATTTCGAACGAGACGATTCGTTTTGTCCTCAGGTGAATTGAAATAAATTTTGTATCATTCATATAGACATGAAGAGAAAATTCTTGGTAAAATCAATAGACTTGAGGAAATCCAATTTTTTTGAACTAGGTATTTGAACCTCTTATTTTTTAATCGTTAGAGAAATTGTTTTTTCCATTCTTCATATAAGTTGGCTAATCATTTCTATTTTTTTTCTTTTCGAGCAGAGTAACTTGATTCCAAATTCACCTTCATATTATTTCCAGGAATGTAAACATCAGAAGCAATCATCCCAAAACACAATCAAACTCCAAAACTCTCCAACTCTGAGTTGAGAATGATATTTTTTTATCATAAGTACATTTTTGAAGATAATTCCCATCGTGTCACTTCAATAATAGTTAAAACTACAATATTGTTCGAACTGTTCGAATCTCGTCACATATATTCTCTATCAATTGAAAAAAAAATCATAAGCTACCTAGTGAATATTGTTTCCATTTCCAAACTCACCTTTGTTTCCTCTCTTCGAACTCCTATTCAAATCGGAGCCATCCGTCCCGAAACACAATCCAACTCCGAAAACTCCTCGAAAACAACTCCGAGCCGCGACGTCGCGAGAGCGGCAGCGGAAAAGCCGGAAAAGCCGGGAAAGCTGGGAAAGCGTCGCACGAGTTCAGCTGACAGCGATCGCGGGATACTGAGAAGCCGCGACTTTGGCGGCGGACCGCCAACGGTCTAGGAGGGAGCTGCAACTTTCTAATTGGCCGCGCACAGCGATCGCCGAAGAAGAAGAACTTAGCGAACATATTGTACTTTCAATATCTCTAAGATAATATCATATATTGCATTGTCGTTCTTAATGAAAACCTAGTAAAATAAATATTGTCTGTTCATTGAGAAGACATTTTGTGAAAATCGCCCCTATCGACCACATTTTTAGTAAGCTTGTGACCTCTTGGCGAGAACATATATAGAGTTCACATCCAATAAATTGAATCAATCGTATCATCTCCTTAAATCCCTCAAGGATGAATTAAATACCAAAGCACCTATATTAGTTCATTTCGCCAAGTTTCATTTACAACAACATTGCTTCCGTTTAGAATCTCAGCCCACCTGAGACCTTGAAGATTATCCCAGATTTCTGATCTCCGTTTGACTATTCCATCCCCATTTTTTTTCTGATACAGTAGGTACTATTGATGATCCCTTCAAAGGATGTTTGAGCTTCTTTCCTAACGAGCTTGTCCATTATTTCATTACCCTCTACTCTAGCTAGCTCGTTCAGGCTTTCCTGTCATTCCCAAAGCATTTTAGAACTGATAACCATAGTGCTCAGCGCTTCAATGTCCACTTGAATATAGGACATGATAGTTTCGTCTTTCATACCTTTACTCTTTATTGAACTACACATTCCCCAATAGCGTGAACTATGCCTGGAATATGCTTCGAAATTTGCCAAGACTATTCCATCAGTTCTTTTCTGGATGTGCGCCGGTTTTTGGCTCTTTCTTTGAGGTCAATACCCATGGATTCACCATTCCATTTCTTTGCACATCAGCTTGGTGATAAATTGTTTAACAAAACAGTATTTTTCTTCATTCCATCCTGCAGCAAGTCCTGGATTTTCTGGTTGAGTGGGCATATTGGCCTGCCTCTCATCGCTCTTTCTCTAATCATTGTAGAAAATCAGTTGAACAACATTCATTTGTCATCAGTTTGGATCGCGCCTGTGAAGTGGTTATAAAAAGCCGCCTCAGGTACGGTCCCGCTGAGTCTTAGCTGGATAGATGGTCCCTTTGGTACAACAATGGTTCGAAAATGGAAAAAGGGCTATTTGAAGCCTCATGCCACTTTTCCACTTTCTTCTGAGCTCAAATGCATGCCATCAACCCCCAGCGCCCAAAGGTACCTGAACAAAGGTCTGAAGGGTGCCCACATTCATATCTGCTCACAGCCAAGCCACACCAAAGATCACATGGGATCGCCTCGAAACTCTGGAAATGGACAACAAAGTCACAAGTATGTGGGTTCTAGGGCATGAAGAAATCAAAGGGTTTGAGTCTGATGATGATTGCCTTGCAGAAGAAGGTGCAGAGCCTGCATTCTTCGATCCTGAGCCATTCTGTGGGACAAGCAAATGTCACCTGAAGGCAGATGTCGAGAAATGGAAAGACATTGAGAAGTCCTCCTACTGGAGAGCAACTCCAGGTCAACGACAAGCGAAATGGTTCATCAGTCACTCGCAAAACCGAGCCAAAGAGCTACTCACCCTCAACAAACCCTAGCTAGAGCTTATTTCAGGCTTTCTCACATAGCGAATTCAACTATCAGTAACACATTTGGTTTCATTAGAAGTCTTGGGTGAGAGGACTTAAACTAGATAAGGGTAATCGAAATTGATCTACTTGGTTGCAGTGATGGAGAGGTTTCTGAACCTTACGACCCATCTACAATCTACACTCAAACTTATTCTGAATCACTCATCGAAGAACATATCCATTTACTTAGGAGATAAACTCGATATTGATGTCTTAATTGCAACTCATAGTATCGGGCGTGAAATGAAGATACATCGTTGAGTGGAATCTGAGTGAAATTCCACTTTTATTTATTTCAGTGTAAAACTTATCTTGATTGATCTTTTCATCCAAATATTTCAGTCTTTGTGTACAGAATACTGAAGTAAAATGAAGTTCTCTGATATCGACTGTTCTGACAGTTGTTTTCTTCATGAATTACAAAAGTTCCTGGAGCTCCGCATTCAAATGTCTCATCGGGCTCCGTAATTTTTGACTCTGACCGCCGAAGTTTCAATTCTATCAGGATCCACGGTCGAGGATGTCATTCTGATATCCTCCGATATTGCATCGAAATTACCAAATTAGGCAAAGGATAATTACATTCCGGGTAGACGACTCCAGCGTGGTGGATTTTCAGACCCATTAACGTAGCTTTGGCGACACATGGTTATAAATTCGGTATGTTCTCGACGTCACGACACTCGTAAATGGTGTCAAAATATGGCCATTGTCGCGTATGATCGAGTTTCGAATAATTGTATGATAACGTTTGCAACAAATCAGGAAGGATTCATAAGAGAATAGATGGAAAGTAAAGAAAAAACATTGAAAAAAAGCATTTATTTGAAGACTCTAAGAGAGAAGAAAATAAAATGTTTCTTTCAAATTTTAAATTTCAACTATCAACTTATAACCTCATTATTTTCCGAGTTAATCCCAACAAGCCCTTTCATTTGATACCCATATTGTAGAAGTGCATTGAAACTAACTATTCCGCCATCTTGGATAGTCCGCCATATTGGATTTTAGAATGTCGTCACATACCTTATCGTGCGTTGTCAAACGTGTGTACAGAATTTCAGCTCGATCGGTTGAAGATATCTACTTCAAAATTGAGTTGAATTCTACCCGAACAAACATACATATACAGTCGAATAATCTTATTCAATAAGTGAATGAAAATCAATGACCGCGTGGGTTGCAGAGACAAGGAGACAATTCTAATCCTGAATAACCAGCAGACAATACGAATAATTCCTAATTACTCGCAGGATAATTATATTGCCACCTATGGCAAGCTCCACAACAGAAAGACATGGGAAATCTCTAGCTATGGCCTGTGATATTTCTATATAAAGCATTTGATCGTGTTTGGCTCCAAGAACTTCTTTTTCATTTTCCTATCATATATCATCAGCAATACCTTCTTCTATTGATTTTGTTTTTCAGGCAGTTCGCTCCATAGAGGGTATGGTAAAAGGAATATCATCTGTTATCATTGCCATGAATTCCTCCGACCCAAAAGGATCCATCTCTGCATCAACGTGTTCCAACTCCATATCAATGATCTGTTAGTTGTAAGTACCTGCCCTTTGCATATGACAGTATTCACACTGCATTTTCTTCCAGAATACTCATTTCATTCCAGAAAACTAGTAAATTACTCATCAAAAATACAACTGCATCATGTACGCTACTGTTTCATTTTAGTATGAATAGGCTTACGTAATTGATCATTGGCAAGATGAGAATGATCATCAATCAAGTTTTTATGTCAATTTCACCTTCTTCAAGGTGTTCTTATGCATATACAGATTATAATATGTATGATTGATGAGGTTTGCGTCGATATTATTTGAATATTTCAGCGATGGAAATTTCTGTTGCATTATCATCAAGCATTTTCTAGGAGAAAAATTCAATACAGTACTTCTTGGGTACTTTAGGGTAGTTTCAAAGTTTCAAGAAAAAATGTGACTTTTAGGTACTCCGTACACATCCAATGTTTGAAATCCTTAAGAAATTCAGTAGTGGGAGAAAGTGGTCAAACATAAGAATGAACATATAATAATAATGAAAATAATAATAATAAAACGTTTATCCATTCAGTTCATTACTAGTCATTCATTGCTATTACATTATAGAAAAATAATTATATAGTTTACAAATGCATTGTTACATAAAATACAATAAATACATACAGAACTGGAAATGGAATAAACAAGAGTTGTTCCGAAAGGAAAGTTGACATTTTACATTTCACCAGTTAATACCTACTCTATGAGTTTCGTAAGGAGGGATATTAGATAAAGTTTATCAGATCAGAAAAGTATCACTTGTGTTGAACCGACAACTCCGCCAATCATTCCTATAGAAAATTAATAGTGGAACTGTGTTTGTATCCCACGGACGTAAGTAATGGTGATGAAGAAAAAGAAAAAAAATACTACTAGTACACACTTCTTAAATATATACTAGTACATACTTCATAACTAACGCATAACTATTGCTATAAAGTTAAAATAAACCAAAATGAGGCAGGATTCAAATTTAGATAATGAAAATACTTTTTCCGTCGACCTCGTATCAACGAGTAAGTTTAATGTTTATGAAATCGTTCATTAATGACCCCTATTAATGATCAATTTGTCTATTAATGCACGATTGTTTTATAGGCAACCAAACATTCATTGTTGATGCTATAACTTACGGAATCTGCATTTAAATCGAAAATATGGATTTCATCGACGATTTTCCGTTAACGGGTTCGCCTTTCCAAGTTTCTGACACGATTTTAATCCCTGTTTTCTAACACAAGGAATTTATTTCCTATGTTGATCATTTCGACAAATGTCGAATGACACTAATGTCAGTAACAAGGCTACTGGGTGATTCTTAGCAGTTTCCGGATGGATGATAAATTCGCGAACCAAGTTTTATTCATTGCAGCAGAAATGAGAAATATTGTCGACGGAAAAATTTTGTAACCAACTTGTATATTAAAAGGCGATTAATACACTAGTTGGTTAAATAACTATAACTTGCTCGGTGATAATAAATGTTTTTTAAATCGATCGACTGATGTGCTAAAGTCCGCGATCGTGAAAGAAGCAAATTATTTTTTTTTTGTTTCATTATAAGACACCATTTATCTCGAATCAACTAGTGAACATTCAATATCAGATTTTTCGATGATACCTATTTGAAATTCAGAACTATTGGTGGACGGACGTATTGATGAAGACTTAAATTATAATTCCAATTTCTGGCCACATGTCTCCGTTCAAGTAATAGTATATTATTCAACGAGCGCATAATGATGGCTACTACCGACGAAGATGAAAGTTGCAGTA